AGAAATATGTAATTTGAATAGGCAAATTTCTATAAAAGAAACTGAATCAATAATTGATAACCTTATAAAATAGCAAGAGGCCCAGATGGTTTTACTGGTGAATTTTACCAAACATTTAAAGCAGAAATGTGCCAGTGCTCTGTAACATCTTAAAGAAAACAGAAGCAGAGGGAACATTTCCTGATTCATCCTATGAGGCCAGTATTACCCTAATACCAAAACCAGCTCTCTCTCTCTCTATATATATATACATATACACATACATACATACATATATATATATATACACACACACATACATACATATATATGTATATATATATATATATATATATTTTTTTTTTTTTAACAGAGTCTTTTTTTTAAGACAGAGCCTGGTGGCTCACACGTGTAATCCCAACACTTTGGGACGACAAAACCGTCTTTGTAGAAAATCCCAAAGGCAAAGAAAAACAAAAACAAAAACAAAAAAACAACCTCCTGGAACTAATAAGCAATTCTAGGTCAGGTGCGGTGGCTCATGCCTGTAATCCTAGCACTTTTGGAGGCCGAGGTGGGTGGATCACCTGAGGTCAGGAGTTCAAGAACAGCCTGACCATCATGGTGAAACCCCATCTTAAAAAATAAATAAATAAATAAATAAATAAATAAAAATAAGAAAACAATTCTAGCAAGGTAGCAAGGTTACAGGATAAAAGGCTCATACACAAAAGTCAACTATTTTCTTATACTTGAGCAATGAATCATAAATTAGAGGTTGAAATTTAAAAGCACAATACCAGCCAGGTCTGGTGGCTCATGCCTGTAATTCCAGCACTTTGGGAGGCCAAGGTGGACAGATCACTTGAGCCAAGAAGTTTGAGACCAGCTTGGACAACACAGCGAAGCCTTGTCTCTACTAAAAATATAAAAATTAGCTGGGTGTGGTGGCATGTGCATGTAGTCCAGCTATCTGGGAGGCTGAGGTGGGACGATTCCCTGAGCCCAGGAGGTGGAGGTTGCAGTAAGCCGAGATCACACCACTGCACTCCAGCCTGGGTGACAGAGTGAGACCCCATCTCAAAAAAACAAAACAAGACAAAACCCAACACTATTTATATTAGCACCAGAGAGAGAGCGAGAGAGAGAGAGAGAGAGAGAGAGAGAGAGAGAGAGAGAGGGGGAGGGAAGGAGCAAAGAAGAGAGGGAGAGGGAGAGAGACAGAGAAATACTTAGGTATAAATCTAATAAAATATGCACAGGAACCATATAAGGAAAACTATAAAATTCTGATAAAAACATCAAATATCTAAATAAGTCGAGAGATAGTCCATGTTCATAGATAAGGAGGCTCCATATTGTTAAGATGTCAATTTTTCCCAACTTGATCTATACATTCAATAAATCCCAACCAAAATATAGCATATCACTTCAGGCTGGGTGACAGTGCAAGACCTTGTCCCTAAAAACCAGGAAAAAAAATATAGCAAGTTATATTGTACATATCAAAAAACTGATTTAAAGTTTACGTGAATAGCCAGAACAATACTGAAGAAGAACAAACTTGGAGGACTAATGCAACCCAATTTCAAAGACTTACTGTAAACCTATGACAATCTAATCAAAACAACATGATACCGGTGGGGCATGGTGTTTCACATCCCAGCATTTTGAAAGGCCAAGGCGGGTGGATCACCTGAGGTCAGGAGTTTGAGACTAGCCTGGCCAACATAGTGAAACCCTATCTGTACTAAAAATACAAAATTTAGCTGGGTGTGGTGGTGCACACCTGTAATCCCAGCTACTAGGGAGGCTGAGGCACGAGAATCGCTTGACCTGAGAAGGCAGAGGTTGTAGTGAGCTGAGATCATGCCACGGCACTCCAGCCTAGGCAACAGAGCAAGACTATGCCTCAAAACAACAACATGATACTGTCAAAAAAAAAAACAACAGGTCAATAGATTAAAAGAATAGAATAGAGAGCCTAGGTATAGATCTGCACAGTCAACTGATCTTTAACAAAGGAATAAAAGCAATTTAGTGGAGAAAGAATAGTCTTTTCAACAAACGGTTCTGGAAGAAATGGACATCTATATGCAAAAAAAAAAAAAAAAAATCAATAAAAAAAAAACACTTCACCCCTAAAAAAATTAAACAAATTATCAGCAGCATGACAAAAAAAAGAAGAAAAAAGTTAAAAGAAAAAAAAATTAACTCAAAATGGGCCGGGCACAGTGGCTCATGCTTGTCATCCCAGCATTTTGGGAGGCCGAGGCGGGCAGATCACCTGAATTTGGGAGTTTGAGACCAGCCTGACCAATATGGAAAAAACCTGTCTCTACTAAAAATACAATTAGCCAGGTGTGGTGGCAGGTGCCTGTAGTCCCAGCTACTGGGGAAGCTAAGGTAGGAGAATCACTTGAACCCAGGAGGCGGAGGTTGCAGTGAGCTGAGCATGCCATTGCACTCCAGCCTGGGCAACAAGAGTGAATGCTGTCTCAAAAAAAAAAAAAAAAAAAAATTAACTAAAAATGAATCATATAACTAAAACTCAAAGTATACAATTCCTAGAAGGTAACAGAGGAGAAAACCTAGAAGACTTTGGGTATGGCAATGACTTTTAAAATACAACACTAATTTTAAAGAAGTCCAGTTTATTAGTTATTTCTTTCATTGATCATCCCTTTCTTGTTGTATTTTTTAAAACTTTTGCTGTCGGCTGGGCATGGTGGCTCATGCCTGTAATCCCAGCATTTTGGGAGGCTGAGGTGGGGTGGGGGGATCACCTGAGGTCCAGAGTTCGAGACCAATCTGGCCAAATTGGTGAAACCCTGTTTCTATTAAAAATATAAAAATTAGCTGGGTGTGATGGTGCACCTCTGTAATCCCAGCTAATCAAGAGGCTGAGGCAGGAGAACTGCTTGAACCTGGGAGATGGAGGTTGCAGTGAGATCGCACCACTGACCCCCAGCCTGGGTGACAAGGGCAAAACTTTGTCTCAAAAAAAAAAAAAAAAAAAGAAAAAAAAACTTCTGCTCTCTGGAAAGGACAATATCAAAGAAATGAGAAGACGAATCACAAACTGGAAGAAAATGTTTGCAAAATACATTCTGATAAAGGATTTGTGTTCCAAATATACAAAAAACTTTAAATACTCAACAATAGGAACCCAGTTTTAAAAACAGTCAAAAGACCAACGGAACAGAACAGAGGCCTCGGAAGTAACGCCACACATCTACAACCATCTGATTTTTGACAAACCTGACAAAAACAAGCAACGAGGAAAGGATTCCTTGTTTAATAAACGGTGTTAGGAAAACTGGGTAGCCATGTGCAGAAAGCTGAAACTAGATCCCTTCCTTACACCTTACACAAAAATTAACTCCAGATGGATTAAAGATTTAAACATAAGACCTAACACCATAAAAACCCTAGAAGAAAACCTAGGCAATATGAGTCACGACATAAACATAAGCAAGGACGTCATGACTAAAACACCAAAGGCTAAGGCAACAAAAGCCAAAATAGACAAATGGGATCTAAACTTATGAGCTTCTGCACAGCAAAAGAAACAATCATTAGAGTGAACCAGCAACCAACATAATGGGAAAAAATTTTTGCAAGCTGCCCATCTGACAAAGAACTAATATCCAGAATCTACAAAGAACTAAAACAAGTTCACAAGAAAAAAACAACCCCAACCAAAAGTGGGCAAAGGATATGAACGGGTACTTTTCAAAATAAGACTATGCAGCCAACAAACATATGAAAAAATGCTCATCATCACTGGTCATTAGAGAAATGCAAATCAAAGCCACATTGTGATAATATCTCACACCAGTTAGAATGATGATCATTAAAAAATTTGGATGTTTTTAACATCCAACAGATGCTGGAGAGGATGTGGAGAAACAGGAACACCTTTACACTGTTGGTGGGAGTGCAAATTAGTGCAACCATTGTGGAAGACTGTGTGGCAATTCCACAAGGATATAAAAATAGAAATACCATTTGACCCAGCAATCCCATTACTGGGTATATACCCAAAGGATTATAAATTGTTCTGCTATAAAGACACATGCACGCATATGTTCATTGGAGCACTACTTACAATAGCAAAGGCTTGAAACCAACCCAAATGCCCATCAAGGATAGCCTAGATAAAGAAAATGTGGCACATATACACCATGGAATACTATGCAGCCACAAAAAAGGATGAGTTCATGTCCTTTTCAGGGACATGGATGAATCTGAAAACCATCATTCTCAGCAAACTGACACAAGAACAGAAAACCAAACACCGCATGTTCTCACTCATAAGTGGGTGTTGAACAATGAGAACACATGGACAGAGGGAAGGGAACATCACACACTGGGGCCTGTTAGGGTGTAGAAGGGGTAGGGGAGGGACAGCAGGCAGTGAGGGGATTGGGAAGGGATAACATTAGGAGAAGTACCTAATGTAGGTGATGGGGGATGGATGCAGAAAACCACCATGGCTTGTGTATACCTATGAAACTATCCTGCACGATCTGCCCATGTACCCCAGAACTTAAAGTATAACAAAAAAAAAAAGAAAAAGAGGAAAAAAATGGTCAAAAGATACACTTCACCAAAGAAAATACAGATGGCAACTAAACATATGAAAACATGCTTAACATCACGTCACTGGGGAACTGCAAATGAAATAAAAATTTGGTTATCACAAACACCTATTAGAATAGCTAAAATAAAACAACTGACAATATCAAATGCTGACAAGGATGCAGAACAGCAGGAACTCTCATTTGTTGTTGCTGGGAATGGAAAATGGTATAGCCACTTTAGGAGATAGTTCAGCAGTTTCTTACAAAGCTAAACATAGGCTTACCATATACCCTAGAAAATGCACTACTACATATTTACCCAATGGAGCTGAAAACTTATATCCCACAAAAATCTGTACACAAGGCCAAGGCAGGAGGATTGCCTGAGCCCAAGAGTTCAGGACTAGACTGGGCAACCCACAAAAAGAAAAAAACAAATGCTAGTCATCTAACTGATATAATCAAAACTTTTCCGGGCTTAGTTTGAGATTCTAAATATACTTTTCTCTATACTGTCTTTGAAAAATATTGCAAAACTTTTACACTTTTAGAAGACTAAAACGCTCTATTTCAGTATTACTGGCTAATGTTAAAAATTCACGAATGTCTAATAAATGTAGCAGAGAAAGAACATGGGAGCTAGATGCAGTGGTTCATGGCTGTAATCCTTGTGCTTTTGGAGGCTAAGGCAGGAAGATCAGTTGAGGCGAGGAGTTCATGACCAGCTTAGGCAACAAGGCAAGATTGTATCTCTACAAACACTAAAAAAATTTAGCCAGGTGTGATGCCTCATGCCTGTAGTCCTAGCTACTTAATCAGAGGGCTGAAGTGAGAGGATCACTTGAGCCCAGGAGTTCAAGGCTGCAGTGGGCTGTAATTACATTACTGTACTCCAGCCTGGGTGACAGAGTGAGACCCTCTCAAAACAAAATAAAAGAACATGAGATCTGCCTAGATTCAATGAAACAGTCAAATCGTTAACTTCTCTGAACTTCAATTTCCAGTTCCTTAAATTATCAGTAAGTAAGCTCTAAGATCCCATCCAGTTCTAAAATTTTATGTTTCTAAGAGTTGATTATCCTGATTTTTAAAGTTCATTTAACTATAATTCATCGACTGACTTCTAATGTGCACTGAACAGAAATATAGAAGAACTCTTTCAAAACAAGAAACTTGGCTGGGCGTAGCGTCTCACACCTGTAATCCCAGCACTTTGGGAGGCCAAGGCAGGCGGATCATGAGGTCAGGAGATGGAGACCATCCTGGCCAACATGGTGAAACCGTGTCTTTACTAAAATACAAAAATCAGCTGGGTATGGTGGCGCGTGCCTGTAGTCCCAGCTACTCGGGAGGCTGAGGCAGGAGAACTGCTTGAATCTGGGAGGCAAGGGTTGCAGTGAGCCAAGTTCGCACCACTGTACTACAGCCTAGCGCCTGTGGACAGAGCAAGACTTTGTCTCAAAAAAAAAAAAAAACGGAAAACTTTTACAAAGTTAGATTCAACTGCAAATAAGGTCCTATTGAGGGGCTTATTAAAAATAAGGTATTTTAGAAATACATTTTAAAAATTTATCTTTTTTTTTTCTGTCCATTAAGAATACAATTTACTGGCCGGGCGCGGTGGCTCAAGCCTGTAATCCCAGCACTGTGGGAGGCCGAGGCGGGTGGATCACCAGGTCAAGAGATCGAGACCATCCTGGTCAACATGGTGAAACCCCGTCTCTACTAAAAATACAAAAAATTAGCTGGGCATGGTGGCCCGTGCCTGTAATCCCAGCGACTCAGGAGGCTGGGGCAGGAGAATTGCCTGAACCCGGGAGGCGGAGGTTGCGATGAGCCGAGATCGCGCCATTGCACTCCAGCCTGGGAAAAAAGAGAAAAACTCCGTCTCAAAAAAAAAAAAAAAAAAAAAAAAAGAATACAATTTACTAACCTAAAGTAAATTGTCAAGAATACAATTAGAATACAGTTTTTCTTTTTCTTTCTTTCTTTCTTTTTTTTTTTTGGCAGAGTTTTGCTCTGCCCAGACTGGAGTATAGGAGTATAGTGGCACAATCTCGGCTCACTGCAACCTCTGCCTCCTGGGTTCAAGCGATTCTCCTGCCCTCGGCCTCTCAAGTAGCTTGGATTATAGGTGCTCACTACCATGCCTGGCTAATTTTTGTATTTTTATTAGAGAAGGAGTTTTGCCATGTTGGCCAGGCTGGTCTTGAACTCCTGGCCTTGAGTGATCTGCCTGCCTTAGCCCACTTTTGCTGGGATTACAAGTGAGCCACCATGCCTGGCTTAATTTTCTAAAGTAAACTGAATATATTGAAATATTCACTGTCTAAACATAATGACATCAAAATTAATTTCTCAATATTTCTGAGAGCTCTTGACTTTCAAAATATATAAATTTAACTGTCATAGTTATAAAATAATTTAAAATGTATTGAATCTCAACTACCCTAAATAAGTATGAACTAGAATTATTAACAATCACTCTACTATTCTGTGATATAGGACCTATTATTACGACCATTTTATAAAACACGAAGCTGAGTTTCATTGCTCAAAATTATAAGGTTATCATTTATTGAGCACTTACCACAGTAAGGCACTATATTAAACGTGTTTTGCCTTGTATTATGTAACCCTTTCAACAGCTGTGATTCAGTTACTTGCTCCAATTTACATATAGGATAGGCTGTTAAGTAACTGTCCCAAGATTACAAATATGCTGAGTGGCTGAGCAAGAACTCAAACCTACATGTGCTGATTTCAAAGTCCGTACTCTATTATGACAATAGAAACATTTTCAAGGCAATAGAGAAAGCTCTCTTCTTATTCTATTAGTCAATAATCCATAGCTTTAAATCTTTTTCTGGATAGGTTAACAAATTAAAGATGTTAAAAGAAACTATTCCTTCCCTTTTGTTTTCAACTTTTCCTGGTTGCAATTTAATTAGAAGCAGTACCCTAACATACAAAAAGCTCTGTCTCCAACACCACCCAAAAGCTAGAGCTCTAACTATGCAGGCATTGCAGCTATTGAGAAAACATTAGGTAGAACAGAGTGAGAAGTGGAGTTTATGAAGGAGTTGTAAAAACTGTCAATAGCTTAGGGGTAAGAATTCCACATATTCCCAGTTTCCTGACAGGTACCCTGATCCCACTGCAAGTTACCCTTCACTAGTCTAAATTTTTCTTACCTTATTGACTTTTACACACTCACTCTGAAATTTCATCAGTAAAATTTTCATTGACGTTAATAAACCCTTTTTTTAAAAAAAAGATAAAATTTTTGGAGAGAACATCAGCCATTAACAAATTTGTATAAATTTATGTAAGGATAGATTTCTTCCTTTAAAATGAGTTAAAAAGAGTACCCTAAGGGAGTGAAAAGTTTTACTTGGAGATGAGAAAGCAAGTACCTCTGAGACTCAAAGAACTTAGAGGGATTCAGTAGGCCTGCACTAGATGCAGCAGTGCAAGACCCAGGAAGAATGACTGCCCTAGGTTACGTACACTAGCTAAGGGCTGGGGAGTATGTTGATAGAGGACCTACTGCAGAATTTTGCCCATATTGGGATTTTGCCAATGGAATAAAGATAACTTTATTTTCTACTGACTTCTCGGAATGAAAATCTGTGGGTTAAAAAAGCTTTTTGTGGTTAAACTGAGAAAATATTAAAGTAGTTTCTATACGGAAAATTGGGGTTTAGTATGACAATCGACCTAACCCATAGTTGAAATGGAGATTAAAGGTACATTTTATTTTATTTTATTTTATTTTATTTTTGAGATGGAGTCTTGCTCTGTCACCGGGCTAAAGTGCAGTGGCGCAATCTCTGCTCACTGCAGCCTCCAACTCCCTGGTTCAAGCAATTCTCCTGCTTCAGCCTCCCAAGTAGCTGAGATTACAGGCATGTGCCACCACCCTCAGCTAATTTTTGTATTTTTAGTAGAGACAGGGTTTCATCATGTTGGCCAGGATGGTCTCAATCTCCTGACCTCGTGATCCACCCACCTCTGCCTCCCACAGTGCTGGGATTACAGACGTGAGCCACTGTACCCAGCCAAAAGTACATATGTAAGTTATAGACACACTTTAAAAAAATAATTTGGATTTAGCGAAAAGTATTACTTCTTCCTTCTTCCTTTCTTCTAACAGTTTGCTTTATCTTCTTCAATCCTGACAACTGCAGAGTGACTTAAAAATAGCTGATTTTCCCAACTATCCTGAATGTCAGTATATGACATGCTATGAGTTTTTATCCCTAACTGCCAATTAACTCTGTCAAAGTAAAGTTTTTAAGAATGAAGATATTCATATTAAATAACTAGGTATAAAATGTTCTTTTCCAACTGGTAACCATAAATGGTACAAAGTACCTATAAACAAAGGTAATTCGACTTTTAAAATATGTAACAGATAATAGTTAAGTTTTTAAAATAAAGTTATTACTTTCAATTAGTTAAAAATAAAATTATTACCTTCAGATAGTGGCTCAGGTTTAAATTCCAGGCCTCAAGCATTCTACTAACCCCATAAATGTCCTTTCTTGTCCACTGAAGTTCTTACTTTTGGGGTCACTAAATCGTGATAGCTGTAGCCTCATTTATGTGAAAGCTTTGTGTCTTCACAGAAGCATTTTCTCTGTAATGAGAAGGTATTTAATGTATAATTTATTTACATAAAGAAAATTATTAGATTTTGTTATGCAGGTTTTATTTTAAAATAACCATTATCAGCCGGGTGTGGTAGAATCATCAACTGAATAGAACTCAGTTGAATAAAACTAAAGACAAGAAATGACTTGCCGAGCGCGGTGGCTCATGCCTGTAATCCCAGCACTTTGGGAGGCCGAGGCGGGTGGATCACGAGGTCAAGAGATTGAGACCATCCTGGTCAACATGGTGAAACCCCGTCTCTACTAAAACTACAAAAAAAAAAATTAGCTGGGCATGGTGGTGCGTGCCTATAGTCCCAGCTACTCAGGAGGCTGAGGCAGGAGAATTGCCTGAACCCAGGAGGCGGAGGTTGCGGTGAGCCGAGATCGCGCCATTGCACTCCAGCCTGGAGTAACAAAGGAGAAACTCCGTCCCAAAAAAAAAAATAAAAAAAAAAAAGAAATGACTTTACAGATAATTGCATGTATCTTGGGACAGGTAGCAATGTCTCTGTGTCTGTTTCCTTGCCTAAAATCAGGGATTTGGAATACTTAAATTATCATATTTTATAACTACCACTGAAACAAAGACCTCTAGCAAATTACATTTTTCCTCAATGAAAATATTTTATAGGGCATGTTTTGGAGACACAAGAAGCTTTAAAATAAAAGCTCCTCTCCCCACACCCTACCTCCCAAGCCCTAGAATTGACAAGCTTATTTTTTTTTTTTTTTTTT